TTTTTAGAAAAGAAGACAAAACAAAAATACTTAGAAAACAAAAATGTCTACGTTGTTGGTGAGAGGAAAGAAACACCAGAATTATGGCTTTTACTAAAAATAAAAACTAGAGAAAGAAAAAAAAAACTCTCACGACTTTAAAAAATATTAGAACCAAAAAAACCTGATTGAATAAAAAACAATTGTTAAAACCGTAAAAATCAGAAAAGTCTTCCCAGCCTTATTTGCCCATCGGCCCTAAAGCTTTTAAGGTGGGTGCAAAGTCACCAAAATTAAAATGAGAAAAAAACACACACCCACTAATGCCAAAAAGAAAAAAATATTATTAAACGAAATGCATTTTAGTGACAAAAAAAGAAGTTACCTTTTGATGATGGATATGACATAGAGGCAAAGCGATTCCACCGTGAGAGTAAAGAACCACTCTTGCTCCGCCGCGGCACAACACAATCACCTCCTCTTTTCCGACTATCGTAACCACCGCTCCTGCGGTTATGGACCCTAGCGTTCCCACCGCCTCCGAAAAACACGATCTCATCACCTTATTCCAGTCCACCGCCAGCCTGCGGCCGTGGCTTGCCGTTACCTCCTCCTTTATGAGCCGCCGCAGCCTCTCCTCAAAGAATTTAGCGAGCCTAAGACCGTCGAAGATCCCGAAAATGTCATAAGATGGAATCTCGTTGACGACGGTGGAAACAGCGGTTGTCATAGCTCGTTGCCGACCCATGACGGAGACAACTCCGTGGTCAGCGTTTATTGTTCCGTCTATATCGTTAATTGCCACGTCAGCCATTAGTGAATTGACAGGGACTTGTGTTGCTTCCGATGTCCCTACATCTCCTAAGATTATATAGAGAAAAATTGTTAGTCCAAAATGGGGAAAAAGGATTTGTTTTCCAATGAACTTTTTCTATGTTTTTTTTTTTTGTAATTGAAAACACACACTAATTTTGTATCTACTCTTTTTTTTTTTACACTTTAATAAAAATAAAAGTAGATATAGTTCTTTAGAAAATATATTTTTTACACAAATGATATTTCGGGTTTGATAGTACGTAATAGATTGATAGTTTTCAAATTTGCTATTAACCAAAAAAAATCGCCTTGAACTCTTAAATAAATTGTTACTATCATAATATAGCCACCCTCCCAAAAGTGACATTTTAATGCTTATAAACTCAAAATATTTGATAAAAGAAATAACACAGTTTTTGTGCTAAATGATATTCAAATTCACTCTTAAAAATTCAGAAACAATATGTAAAAGTAGTAATTTTCGTAGTGAATTTTAGCCAAAAGAAAAAAAAAAAAATTCGTAGTGAAATTACCGTTGTCTTCAATTTTTGGTAGTTTGACAGGTCTGCCCTCGTCGACTACGGTAAATTCCGGATCAGCCACTCTTACCCGTTTGCTCTTGCCGGAGTCGCAATCGCCGGCTAAAATGGGCAGAGTAATATCCCTTTCCATGACGATTACTCCTCTCCAAGTTCTCGACGACTTACTCTTTAGTTGAAGTGGGCAAGTGTATGTTATATACATATATCAAAAAGTAGAATATATACGTAACATATGTGCTTATGTATATATAACACAAGTATGTTGTCGTGTCTTTTTTCTATTACTATTTAAAAAAAAATGAAAAAGAATGAATGACGGTCAAGAGACAGCCTATCGAGATACGTTTCTTCATGGAGCAAAAAAAGGACTTAATTACAAACCGTAATCTAGACATATTGGTAGACTAGATTTGTTTACCCAAAAAAAAAAAAAAACATATTGGTAGACTAAAGTGTTTGTGAGTATGTGACTATATATTTACTAATATATATATGTTTTTTTGGTCATTTAATATTTTGTTTATATTATTATACACATGTGATAGTAGCTATAATATCTTCGGATATCAATTCTAGTTATTCTTTTGTTGAAGTTATCTTTTAACTAAGAAAAATGCATGTAACTTGTCACATGTATATTCGAAAGGACAATTTCAGGTGGAGTTTTCAATACGACAAGTATCGTCCAATATGGGAAGCTAAAGTATCAACTACATGTATTGGGTCCTAAAATTACAACCAAATAACAAATTTGAGGAAAAGACTAAAACCAAATTTCTTTTGAGAAAATACAAGTTTGATATTTTTTTTTTTCTAAAGATGACTACCAAAAAGCTAGTATTAGTAGGA